TAAACAAAAGCAATATAATGGTATACAAAATCGAATAAATGGAAGAATATACAAATTCGTTAATACGAGGATAAAAATATTTTAAAGATCATGATTTAAAATGATGCAATTATCTTCAATAACTCGTAACTTAGTTTAATTTGAATAATTCAAGGATGCAAAGCGTAGAAAAATAATAACAAGCTCATTTATCAACCAAGGGTTCAAATCAAGAGAATAAATGTTTAGAAATATCCAGAAATCAATCACTTATAGCATGAGACTCTCGAAGAGTTCTCCTTAACACTTAACGGGCTTAATCACTACTAGAGTTAACCTTAACAGGCTTAAGGATATTCAGGTGGAATCTCGAACCTGAAATCCAGCTTCTCTGGGAAAGGAACAGCTCCAGGACCCTCTACCAGCTCAACATAGGTTAGAACACAACCAGCAGTCTTAATCCGGGCTCTCCTTGACTCCATGCTCAACACAGAGCTAGGACCAGGAAGAGGTTCCTTTGGAGCAGGAACAATCTTCGGAGGAGCAACAGGCTTCTCAACCACTGGATGAGCAACAGGCTTCTCAACCACTGAAGGAACAACAGGTTTCTCCTAGCTAGCTTCATCTTCTTTCTCTGAATCTTACCAGGTTTCTTATCCTTAGAATAGGAACGCTTCTGAACAGTTCTCCTTATCCAGGTAGGCAACTCATGAACTCCCTCCCCCCATTTGGAACGTTCCTGAAATGTCCAATCCTCGGACAGGTTCGTAAGCCATTTAACACGAGCTCTGCAAGTCTCCGTCTCTCTCTCTGACTTCTCTAAGAGTCTTGTCTCCTGAGCTAATGTGTTAAGCACAGCTCTATTTAATCCTGCCCTGCCTTGAACACATAATGACCAGGGACATACAAATCCTACTGTAGGTTAATCTCATGGAGTCATACATGGAGTTATAAAACATCCTGAACTCCACATCCTGGATCATCCTCGCGAAGAACAGCTTGAAGCTTCTATGGTTCTTCCGAACCACTCCAATAGACTCCAGCGTTGGCTCCTCCCAGACTTGGAACACTGGTTACTCAATACTGAACAAGGATCAACGGAGGGACAAACTACAGGATCCCATCTTCCAATCCCACGGGTCTCACCAATCCTTTCCCATCTAGGAGGGGATCCAATCGGTGAACACTCCCAAGCTCTCCTACCTCAAGCCCAAATCTGACATAATCCTTGTCAGATTCTATGGGATCTCGGAACAGAACACCATTAGACCAGCGGATTCTAGCCTTGACTAGTACTTCAGTCTGCTCCATAAACTTCTCTTTGGCCTGGATTAAATATCGGCATCCTCCGTTAGTTACAGATCCCCCAACAGATCAATCCATAACCTCATGTAGACTGGAGGCTCAGACTCCAACCTGTCCATGGCTGCCCTGGTCAAGGACTACTTCTCGGCTGCAGCGTAGACCTCCACTCCCTCCAGAGCCTTAATGATCCAGTCCAGGAACCAGGTAAAATTACTAGCCTGGTCTGTCTCAAGATACTGACACAAAGCGTCAGGGTCTGGAAACACATAAATTAAAAGCAGTCCAACCAGAACATTGTAGGTTATGAATCCAAACTTGATGTCTCCCAAAGCATAACACTTGAGGGGATCAGGTATCTTATGTAATCTCACTCCCCACAAATCATCCCCAGTAGAGACCATCTTGTTCAGTAAGGATCCCAACACTTGCACCCCCATGGCTGTCATGTTCTTCGAGTGAAACTTATACCCATCCAGGATAGCTAGAGAAGTTAGATAAACACACCCATTCTCTAGGACAACACTGGTTCCAGAGATTAGCGAATAAAACTATGTCTCTCCTGACTCCAAGTCCTACAGACACATTGGAGTAACTCTAGAACTTTGGGTTGAAATGACATCCTCAGGATCACGTACTCATCCTTCTCATTCTTGTGGAGGTCTAGGGAGATAAGAAAGACCCGGCCAAGATACTCCATTCCCTAAAAATGTCTTCCGAGGTATCCATCTCAAGTCATCCTTTCCAAACCTAGGAATCACCTCGAATTCAGGCTGTCTCTGGAGTACAAAATACCTACTGGATATCTGCAGGTCCCTAGCCATCCTCAACGTATCATAAAATGTCGTCTTAACATCCTCAACATCCATGTAGACGACCCTGGTTCCCAAGGGGAGCTGATCCTGATTATACTTCTCCATAATCCAGGAGTGAATCTCCAGAAACTCGGAGCTTGAACTCACTCCACAGATGATTTCTCTAATCTCTATTTGCTCCAGCATCTCCAGGCCTCTCCTATGTTCCTCCATCTTGGGATACTTCTATCCGTCTAACTTCCTGAAGTTAACCAGGAAGTCTAGTAGAGGAGCCCTAACAGGAGAAACTCAGGATCTAGAAGAAATCTAGGCTTGTTATGACCGAATTTGGTGACCATCTCCAGATATACTTCTTCATGTAGGCATTTTCGCGTCAGTTGCTCATACGGTGACGATACCCAACCAGGGAGGCCAACATCTCACACTTGTTCGCCTTCCTCTTTTCTCCCCAGGTTTTCTCACCTTCCTGAGGGATCAGCATTGACAACTCAGGGTTATGAACCTTACTCCTCTGAATAGTCCATCTTCTTTCAATCTTGACCCGAAAGTCTTCAGTCTTCAAGATACTATAATACAATAAAGTTATATAAACTGTAAAATAAACCTTGTACCTTGTACATCAGAGATACCAGTCAAACGTCCTTTGTGTTTAAAATAGAACCGAATTTTTTTTTAAATGATAGCATTGTATATATTAAAGGAGAATTATTTCTCCTCTTGAGTTTTAATGCAATCATCAAAATGGTCCAATTTCTTTTATAGAGGACAGTATGGAAACTTTTGTGTTTTCAAAGGTGAGGGAATTCAGAACGTGACGAAACCGTCGCGTAACAAACTGTCAAGTGGTTTATAGAACTTGTTTGATTAAAATGGATGTCAAGTCTACTATAGACACATCAAGAATGACCAGGTTTACATACACCCACTGATTAATGATCTTAAGTCTACAAGAAACAACGAGAATGAGTATACACCCTTTTATTATTGTGAATGTCAAGTCTACAAGAAACATCAAAAATGGGTTTACACCCTTTGATTAGTGTGGATTTCAAGTCAACTAGAAACATCTAGAATGGGTTTATACCACTTGATTAATGTGGATGTCAAGTCTACTAGAAACATCTAGAATGGGTTTACACCCTTTGATTAGTGTGGATTTCAAGTCAACTAGAAACATCTAGAATGGGTTTACACCACTTGATTAATGTGGATGTCAAGTCTACTAGAAACATCTAGAATGGGTTTACACCCTTTGATTAGTGTGGATTTCAAGTCAACTAGAAACATCTAGAATGGGTTTACACCCTTTGATTAATGTGGATGTCAAGTCTACTAGAAACATCTAGAATGGGTTTACACCCTTTGATTAATGTGGATGTCAAGTCAACTAGAAACATCTAGAATGGGTTTACATCCTATGATTAGTGTGGATTTCAAGTCAACTAGAAACATCTACAATGGGTGTACATCCTATGATTAGTGTGGTTGTTAAGTCAACTAGAAACATCTAGAATGGGTTTACACCACTTGATTAGTGTGGATGTCAAGTCAACTTGAAACATCTAGAATGGGTTTACACCCTTTGATTAATGTGGATGTCAAGTCAACTAGAAATATCAAAAATGGGTTTACGCCCTTTGATTAGTGTGGATGTCAAGTCAACTAGAAACATCTAGAATGGGTGTACACCCTTTGATTAGTGTAAATGTCAAGTCAACTAGAAAGATCTAAAATGGGATTACACCCTATGATTAGTGTGAATGTCAAGTCTACTAGAAACATCTAGAATGGGATTACACCCAATTTGATTAGTTTGGATTTCAAGTCAACTAGAAACATATAGAATGGGTTTACACCAATCGATTAATGTGGATGTCAAGTCTACTAGAAACAATGAGAATGGGATCACACCATGATTACACCCTATGATTAATGTAAATGTCAAAAGTTTACTAGAAACAACTATAATGGAATTACACCCTCTAATTATTGTAAATGTCAAAAATCTACTAGAAAAAAAACGATAATGGAATTACACCCTTTAATTATTGTAAATGTAAAAAGTCTACTAGAAACATCAAGAATAAATTTACACTCATTGATATGCTAAAAAGTCTATATGCAGTTAGAATGTGTTTTAATTAAGAGCTTGACTTGTTTAAATATTGCTTACATTTATTTTCTCACTAAAATCTTTCCTGAAAATGTTTAATTATCAAAAGGCGCTGACATAGATTTCTTGGAAATAGCAGTTTTATAAAATTAGAGATTATGAGAGTGAAAATATCATTCCTATATTTAATCAAAACAAATTTAAACTACACCATTAACACATGATATGTAATATGTATGTATATCAATGTGTGTAAATAAATTTGTAATAATAAAATAAAAAGATCTCCTATTATAATTTTGATTTAAGGAAATAATTTATTTATGGAAATTGTTGTCGTCGTTATCTATACACAAAGTTGTAATCTCCGTTTGTCTGTCTGTCTGTTTGTTTGTCCGATCATAACTCAGAAACCCCTGGACTTATTTGCCTCAAGTTTTGATTGGGGAACAAGACTTTAATAGCTAAACTTTATTTTCCCATTACAATAGTTCAAGTGCGGGTAAACGGCGGCAGCGCTGGGTTCCCAAACTTGAAACTTAATATAATGTGAGCTATAGTTCTTTTTATCGTCTTTTGCTTTCGATATGAGCCTGGATCCTAAAAATCAAATCTTTCAATTAAAATTGTTAAGGTACAATTACTACAAAAAGTTTCAACGAAATTAAACGAATTATGTTAATTATATAATTATATTTTTACAAAGTGTAGCGACATTTCTGAAATATTTAGTCAAAACTAAAATGAGATGAACTAAAATTTTGAAATTCATATTTTTGCCTTTTTTAAAGCCTGAAGAGAACGGAGAATGTCTGGCGTTTGCTTCAGAGAGGGTTCTTGGTACTCTCTCAACTATTCTTGTATCCCAACATATGATGGAGTCTAGTAACCCAGGTGACATCCAGTAAATGCATAATTTTCAAATATTGTTTACGCATATTGTTTCACATAATGGATTGCTCACATTTTAAGAATTCGAAAGTGTTCCTGCAAGCCAAAGTGTTCAAAACTATCTGTCTAGTGTTAGCTCAAAAATCATTTTGAAAAGTGAATTTTGCGGATTTTTTTACGCATAAAAACTCTTTAAGAATATAACCGTCTAATCTTTAGTAACATGCTAAATATTTCAAATATAACATATCTCTGAAAATGGATAAAACTCTTATTTAGTTTAATGTGTTTTGAATTCTTATTTATAAGAAACAAGTTTCTGGGAGAATATAATCAAAGAGCATTCTTTAGGCGTAATATCAGATTTCCATTAGTCTAATTATCTCTCTAGATTTGGCCTTTTCGTCTTTGAAATGTGTCCTTTTGATCAGTACCATATTTCTACTAAAAATCTGAAAATTTTAAAATATTGATGAATCTTAAATTTCTTGAAATATGTTAACAAAAAGATTGTTTTATTTTGTAAGAAAAAGCTCAAAATGTTTTATCTCATATTCTAAGTTCTAACAGTCTTATTTTTGATTATTTAACTTCTTGATCTTATTTATATCAAAGTTTAAAATCATCGAGTGTCTATTTCGGATTTTGACAGAAAGATAAGATTTTTTAAAGCAACAAACAAAATGAAGTTTTAAGAAATCTTTTATACTAATTTCTTTCTTTCACCATTTGACCGAAAATGTTGCATTTATGCCATTAATATTTCTTTGATTTCTATTTTAGTTGCAAAAGCTCAGATAAATGGAAGCACCGAAGGAAGTGTTTACATTCATTACAATTTTATTGATTTTGAGTATAGATATGGGCTTTGTCAGGTATGGAAAAATAAATAAAATAAAATAGAAAGCTTATTTTTTAATTTTTGCAACGTACTTTATACATGCGAGTTTCCTTCAACCTATTTTGGGATGAAGCATATTGTTATAGAACTGTGCAATTTTCAATTTCCTCTTTGGAAAAAATGTTATAAATGTTTTAAAATTTAGAAATAAATTATTATATCAATATTGTATCTGATAAGGAAAATAAAAATCTTCTCTTAAATTTAAAAACTCTTTTTAAAAGTATATCTTCAAATGAGATTACTACAAACTCCTGGGATTAAATAAGAATTCTGTATTTTTTTTGTCTGGTTCATAAAAGTTCCACTCTGGGCTTTCCATTCATTGTATATTTCAGATCACTGAAGCTCTTCTGTTTCTTCATGCAAGTTGTCAACTTGTACATAGGTGAAACAGGAAATCTTATATCGAAACACAGAGAAACTGATTAATCGAAACCTGATGCCATAGACCTTTCATATTCCTAACTGTTAATTTTCTATTAGATAAGAGGTATTCAAGGTTTGAAATATCAAAGTTTACGCTATCTGGGACCGGATTTAATGAATTTGAGCCAGATCTAGAGAGAGATCAAATAATAATAAATCAGGGTTTCAGACGATCCTTATCAGTTCCTTTGTTTCCTTGTGAAAAATTGTAGAACCATAAACGCACAATAAAGTGCATTTTTTCCTCATTTTAAAAAGTTAATTAGTAAATTAAAAAGATAGAAATCCATGCATTTTGATAATAATATTGGAGACCAATTTCTACAACAATAACACAAACAGTGTAAAATAATACTTTTAGCAATTCTTTTTCGTATTTTCAATATTCAGAAATGTTTGCCCCGGAACAATCTACATCAGCAGTAGGGGAACCTGGAAACTAGGAGGTCTTGAACATGCAGGTGAGGATATTTTGAATAAAATTAAATTATAGAACAGGATTATCTAAATTGGTTTAGCTACTTTGAAAATATTAATACTAATCAATAATCATTTTATCTTTCTAATCACATCGGAATTTTTGTATTAAATCTACAACTTGTTTAGGATTTCTAGAATTAGCTTTAACTCGTCATATTTAAACCTTATTCAATTAATATCACTTTCAGCAGATAAATTCCTAGGATATCAAATTTAAAAATTCCAAGCTCTAGCGGCCCAGTATTACAAATACATATATTTTAATAAACAAGCCGAAGGCACCTTATTTAAAAATTATTTTTCTTTGCGCATTTTTACAACAATGAACCAAAAGATATCGCGGAAATTCCTAGGATTTGTTTATAATTTTTTGAAATCTTCGCCTGCTATAATTCCCCTTCCCACTAGAGCTGGTTACGGTTTTGCAACATTTAGGGCCCGATTGGTTCAGCTGATTCCTCTTTTATTGAAACCAGACAAAAAGCTAACAAAACAGACAAAGCTAATATACGCATAAGTATTAGTATTAGTATAGATACATTAATTTTTTTCAAAATTATAGCAGAACCTTATTTCTCATACACTGTGAAGCTCCAAGCTTCACTTCTTTTGTGCATTTTCAGAAAATTGTTGGTAGATTTGTTTTGCCAGTATGCTTTGAATTCTAAAAAATTTCTAGTTACATTCCAAAAACTAATGTCACTTTTAAAACGTATTTAAATGAGTCCATAAATGAAACTTTTGTTTTTGCAAATATTACACCGGAAATTATTTTAGAAACAGTAAGTAAGCTAAAACCCAAGAACAGCTCAGGAAAAGACAATATTTCTACTAAACTACTGAAGGAGATTATTGATTGTATCGATTATCCTATAGCAAATTTATTTAATCTTTCTTTTAAAACAGGATACATCCCTAGCGAGTATAAATGATCAAAAATTATTCCAATCCTTAAAGTGGACGAAAAAGATAAGTTTAATAATTACAGACCTATAAGTATTCTTCCAGCTTTGAGTAAGCTACTTGAAAAAATTGCTGCAATACAAATGTTCACCTATATTAATAAGTTTAACATCTTTTACAAGCACCAATATGGATTTAGACCTAAACATAACACAAATCAACCACTTTTGCCCTTAGTGAATAAAATCTATGAAAACCTTAATAAATCTAAACCAGAATTTACTCTTGGAATATTCCTAGACTTAAATTATCTTGTTAATAGAACTCAATATGTATGTATAAATGGAGTTTTTTCAACAGAAAGAATTATAACATGTGGTGTTCCTCAAGGAAGTGTTCTAGGGCCCCTGCTGTTTCTGCTTTATATAAACGATTTGCCCCTAGCAACATCTTTTTTTACCAGCCTCTTTGCAGATGATACTAGTTTTTTAAAGTCATCTCCTGACATTGCAAGCCTAATACTTGATGCAAACACTGAACTAAAAAAGGCACAAAAATGGTTTCAAGCAAATCGTTTGTCACTAAATGTCTCCAAAACAAAGTATATAGTATTTAGAAATAGAAATATGTACTTTGACCCCAACAGTTGTAATATATCAATAGGAAATGAGATACTTGAAAGGATTGGTAATGACTGCGTGAACAAATATTTCAAATTTGTTGGACTTAAACTTGACGAATTTTTAAACTGGGATTTTATATCTCGAAAAAAATTGCTAGCTCAATTTTTGCTTTGTCTCAAATTAAAAATATCCTACCATTAAACATTCGTCTACTTGTTTATTACTCTCTTGTAAGGCCTCATATTGAATATGGAATTGGTACTTGGGGAGGGGTTAAAAACTCTAAATTGCAAAAAGTCAGATCTTTTCAAAAAAGGCAATCAGAGCGGTTAACAATAGTTACTTTCAAGGCACATTCAAGTCCATTATTTTCAAAACTGAAAATTCTTAATCTTGATGATACATACAAACTTTGTGTTCTGATATTTATGCATGGATACTTTAATGATAACCTTCCCTCTTCCTTCCAAATTATGTTTAAGTCTTTAGCTGAACCGAATAGAACAAAATCGTAAAATTAGAACAGGGTTTAAACAAAAATTTAGAAAGCTTTCCGTCCGCAATGTTTCCTAAAATGTGGAATGAAATTGAAATTGACCTTAGAAAACTAAATCTACAATAATATTTAAACAAAGAGTAATCAATATTTATCTTGAGAATTATGAGAGGTATAAATGCGAAAAACCTAGCTGTATATCGTGTGAATAAATTTTATATAAAAAAACTAAAATAACTGAAACTTTATAAGCTTATTTCTGTTTCTGTATCTACCATCTACACCCTGTATTTAATTCATCTCTACATAAAAATCCCTCTGATCTCACCCTGCAACAGATCACCTTACAATCTCCTTTCTTCCAATCAACTCCTTACCTATCCAAAAACATATCTTGATATGTGCAACCAATTTTATTCAGTATCGTTAATTAATTCGGACCAACCACTCAAAATAACCAACCCTGGTTAGGCGGGTCCAAACTGCATTGTAAATTATGATTGCTTATTTGTAATATTTCATGCAACTAAAAATATGTCTGAATGTATAGGTCGGATTGGAAATGGAGACTGTGAAGTTGCCTGTCAACCCTGGACTACCAAAATGCCTAAAGCAGCCCAACCAAATCTTAACTACATCGGTAAATACAACAACTACAGGGTGAGTCAAAAAAAGTGTGATTTACGGCGCCTGGTGCAAAAGTGCACCTTTTTTCGTGCAACTCTTCTGATTTTTCAATATTTTTTGAAATTTTTTTTATTTTTTTTTTGGTACTCCAATTGCAAAAAAAATCCGCGAACTTTTTTTTCTCTCAAAATCAAAATATTTCTATCGAAATCTAAAATTTCATTAAGATTGAATCACAGAATCACAGAAAATTGGCAAAATTGTAATAAGAAAATTCGCAATTTTCAGTCCTGATCTAATTTAAAGGAAAAATTGTTTTTCAATGGTTCTTCAAGTTTTAACTGAACAGTGTATATTTTTAACTTTTGAATATACTAAGAAGAAAGGAAATAGAAAATTCAAATAAGTTTTCCTCAAAAATTAGCCCAAAACTGAAAATTGCGAAATTTCTTATCACAATTTTGCCAATTTTCTGTGATTCTGTGATTCAAACTTTATAAGATTTTAAATTTCGATAGAAATAGTTAATATACACATTTTTGCTTTCATAAACTTTTGATTTTGAGAGAAAAAAAGGGTTCGCGGATTTTTTTTTGGATCATTTGAGTACCAAAAAAAATTTGAAATTTTCAAAAATATTGAAAAAACACCTTACAGAAGAGTTGCACAGAAAAAGGTACACTTTTGTACCAAACGCCGTAAATCACACTTTTTTGACTCACCCTGTATATTAATTTTATTACTAAAATAATATTTTCTTTTTAAACAGCTCCAGAAATACAGCACAAATCCTGCTATAACAGCTCCAGTGATATGTATAGTTTGGGAATGACTTATATATCATGCTTTAACTCAGGACAATCTGTTATACAGGTAATTAATAATTGTAGCAAAAATTACATTCTATTAAACTAGTTGAAAGATCAGCTTCTATAATGGTTTTCTCCCGTTGCATTTCTTCAATAAGTTTATTGTTCAGGAGAAAAGAAAATCGCTCATTTTTGAAAACATTTATTATCTTTAGGTGATAATTTAGGTTACGTGCCGAGCTAAATGTTAAGACTAGTATTAAAGGGTTTATGAACAGTAAAATTCGAAACACCGAAAATCCACCAATTAGAAAATTCCGTGAAAAAGAACTGAGTTTGCCACAAACTCAAATTTTCTAATAACTATCTTTGCAACCTAATGGTGTAAACTTTTTTAGACTATTTAATCTAGCCGAATTCAGAATATCAAAGGCCTACAACACGGCGTTGCAAAGATTATAATAGAAAATCAGAGTTTGTGGCAAAGACTTAGTTTCTTTCTTGACACTGCTTCATGATAATTGGAGAAGTTGGAAAATGTTTAAATATCTGATTTAAATCTTACTGATCTACTGATCTACTGATCTACTGATATACTTTTAACACGTAACAGTATAACCTTTTAGGCTAGTCACAGTACAAGTCAATATTTTAAACTGGCCGGACAGGTAATTATAGAATTAGGAAAATTGAAGATGTGTGTGACTAAATATCATTATATTTAGCTATCTGAGAAAGTAGCTGAAATACTTCCATTTATTCCAGTAGGCCTTCAGGTAGTTTATTTTTTCAGAAAACAGTTAACGTCCAAAAAGCTTATCTTTTTTTAAAAGGTGTTTACATTTTTAAAAAGGCAAAGTATGCTATTTTCAGATTTTATTAATTTTCAGACTAGGTGTTGTACTGCATATTGAAAAATAAATTACGAAAATAAAAATAAATTTAAAAAATTAAAATAAATTACAAGAAATGAAAACATTTTTTTAAAAATCTAAATATATTTTATTTTCTAAAGTTTATGGTTACATTTGTAATAAATTACATATCTATTATATGATGTACATATTTTTTATGATTTGACATTTGACATTGCATTTGAGATAGAAAAAGCCTTTTCTTTACATTTAAATCCTCAAAAACATTGTTCGTTTCTCCGCCGTTCCTCAGAAGACTGACAAGATCTCTAGGCACTGGGAAAAGGTTTCCTCTTGGACATTGGTCTGGAAATGGTAAGAGTCTTCTGGGACATCAGCATGGAAGTGTAAGTCTCCTGGCCGGGACGTCATCAAGGAAGTGTGAATCTCCTGGGATATAAACACGGAAGTCTTACAAGACATCAACACGGAAATGGGAGTCTTCTGGGACATCATTACGGAAGTAGGATTCTTCTGGGACATCAACATGGGAACGGGAGTCTCTTGGAACATCAACACGGAAGTGGTAGTCTTCCGGGACATCATCACGGAAGTGGGAGTCTCCTGTGACATCAACCGAAATCGAATTGGTAGTTTTCTGTGACATCCTCGTAGAAGTGGGATTCTTCTGGGACATGAACACGGAAGTTGGAGTCTACTGGGACATCATTGCGTAAGTCTGGGAATTAGGAAAGGTTTCGTGCTTTTTAAATCTTTTCCTTATACTCTTTCTCGCCCTTTTCCTCTTTTTCCTCGTCCTATTCGACATCCTGGAATGGGTTTGGGTCAGGATACCGAGGGTTTTTGGGAAGGAAAAACACTCTTCACCTCCTCTAGACCATAACCTCAGCTCCACGGATTCACCGGCCTTCACAAATTCCTGTCATAGAGCCAAGACCCCTGGATCAAACTCATGTTTTATGTGAGATGTCGAAAAGTTGAACGGACCACTTCAGCTGAAAATAAAGGAATTGAGTCTTTGCCACAAATTCAAATTTTCTAATACTCATATCTCGACAACCTGTTGGTGTAAACCTTTAGAATTTCAAACTTCGATTATTTGATCTAATGTAGTTCATAGTTTGAAATATCTAAGGTCTACGACAGTGGGTTTCAAAGAAGGATTAGAAAATCAGAGTTTGTGGCAAAGACTTAAATCCTTTAAGATAAGATTTCAAGAATGTTGCAGCAGAATTTTAAATGCCAAGGAAGGAAAAATTATGTTGCCACACAAAGATTTAAAATACTGTTTCATGCAAAATAAGGCTTAATTTTTAAAAGGAATTAGTAAACAAACTGGTGAACCAAGACACAAGGCATAGGCCTACAGCAAGACAGTTGGTTCAAGCACCATATTTCGGGTAAGACTAAGTAATCCTTAGATTAATTTTTATTAACTGATCATAGTACAAAATAAATTTAACAAAAACACGGTAATGGTATTTTTTTTTGTGACAAAATACTCCTAGATTTTAGCATAATTGGCTGCATTAAAGGGACTGTAAGCGTAATTTCATGTGACCCTCCATGCAAAGAGTCTAGAGCCATGATCATGAAAGACAGCCATTTATGGCTTGATTGTTCCTGCTACAAATCAGTATATGTTAGATAAAGCTTAAAATGTATGTATAATTGTAATATTTAGTTTTTTCCGTAGCAAAATAAATAATAAATAAAATTAAAAGAGGACAATGCGCGATTTACAGCGGTACCATTGAAACCTTTCTTTGTTCGTCTTATAGCACAGATATATTTGTGTAAACTTATCGAATTCCGGTATGCGTGGTGTAAACACAATGTACACCGGAATTTGAAGCTGAATACAAGCGGGTTTTGAAAAAGGAATTGAGTCTTCGCCACAAACTCAAAATTTCGAATTCCTATATCTTCCTTTACAGACACACACTGTACTCGACGAACACACAAAGATTTGAAGAGTACCGTTGTAAATCTGGTATTGCCCTTTATGCATGGAGGGTCACTTGAAATTACGCTTACAGCCCCTTTAAGAAAAAAAAGTTGAATTCGTTGAATATGAACGCTTTTAGAATACGGATAAATCATGTAAATATTTGTTCGATATCTTATTTGAGATAACATTTTTGACTATTTTTATTTTTCATTTTCTTATTACTAAAAGTTCTAATTAGTTAACATCTTACCTTGCTTCCGTTTTTGGGCTCTAATAAATCATAAATACAAAATATAAAGAATATGTTCAATGTTCATTCAGACTCAGGAGGCTACTTCCACAGTGATACAAAAGTTGAAAAGTCATGCAAAAATCGTTTAGAATTTTTCCAATCACTGAACTTAAAAACTAAAATTAGTTATTGAGGTAAATCCAAAAAAGACAAAGGCTCTGTAAAGTCGACCCAGAATTGAAAATTAATGCAACATTTTATAGCAGTTTGAATCTGTGCTTTCGGTGGTCAAAGAAAATGGTAAATTGAGTGGCTTTGCATGTGTACATATATGTTTCTATATCTTTTAACGGCTATCTTTGAACTATAGTTTCTACAGCTTTCTAATGATACCAATCGTGAATCAAACAATGTAAGAATTGTGGGTTTATACGGTGCGTGTATATACATTACACATACTATACAAATATTTATTCTAGAGACCCAGCGGTACAGGCCCTACAGTTCCTTGAAACCCTTAATACCAAGGTAATATAGCAATATCAGTTAAATTTTTGATTATAAAGTGTGCCTTTAAATGAATGAATGTTCAAAATACATTAGTCAAAACATAAAACAATTGGATGTTCACAACAAATTTCAAAGCAGAAGATAAAATAGTTCAGATGTGGTCTAAAAAAAATGTATGTTTTGTTAAAAATGCTAGCTTGAGAATACACAAGGTGGTAAGATATAAACTTACTTAAAATACATTTAAAAATTTTCAGATCTAAAACACTTATCAGTTTATTGAATTATGTCTAAATTGGAGCCTTACTTATAAATAAAAAAGATTTAATAACATCAGTCCAGTTTGAGGACTCCAGAAAACGCAAACAATTTAAATATCATCTAATTTTAATTTGGAAAAAATCTCAAAAAAAATGTGTAACAACAGTTTTAAGAGTAAATTAAGTTTTAATTACTTCTAATTCAAAATAGGATATTAATTTTTAAATATGTAAACAGTCCTTTTTAGAATTTTATTTCTATATCTAAAACATGTTGTGTTAAACAGTTTACAATTTGCTGAAATATTCAAACTCATTAGTCTCTCTGACAACAATTGTTTTGTTTGTAAACAATATTATGAATTAAAATTATAAGCAATATACATAGATTACATAGATACATAGATACGTAGATACATAGATACATAGATACATAGATACATAGATACATAGATACATAGATTACATTCATTTTAAAGTTTACCCTGCTACCAGTATGTTTTTAGGATACGAACCAGAAAGCCCAGTTTTTCAGAAATAGTTTAATTGAAGTGTTTCCCTTTATTCCTCGGGTAAGTATTTAATGTTAATTTTTAGTTTATTGTGTTTATAATTGTATAATATCTAATTTATTGTAACTTGTTTTTATTTTTAACTACTTAAATACCTGGAATTATATTCTCTATATCTTATTCTGAAAAACGATAATATTTTAGAAATTGTATGAAACTTGAAGTAAAAAAGATCTTTTCTACACATTTTATTTATCATGAAAGGAATCGAGACTTTGCCACAAACTCTGATTTTCTAATCTCTATATCTTTTCAACCTAATGTCGTAGACCTTAGATATTTCAAGCTATGAATTCTTCTAGATCAAAAAAAAACTAAGTTTGAAATATCTAAGGTTGTTGCCATCAGGTTAGCAAGATATAGGGATTGGAAAATCCGAGTTTGTGGCAAAGATTCAATTCCTTTCAGATAAATGAGAATATTTTATAAAAAGTAATCAAAACGCTGTGTTCGAGCTTTGGTTGAATTTACAAATTACAGGGTTTAAATTTAAAACGTTTTTTCGTTCATTTAATTTAGTTAAGAGAAAATAAATACTTAAAATATGAAATCTGTTTAAATTGAAGTTTACATTACTATTTTAACAATTATAATATGACTTTTGAATTTTTTTAAATCTTCTATGCGTTACTATTCTGCATGACATCGTTTATAACAGTATACTTTTTTGTAATTGCAGAAATGTATAGCCTGACTGGCTGCACCTCCCCCCCCCTTTTTTTCTGTGATAGAAATTTATAACATTTGATACTTTTTTGGAAAGCCCTTGGGCTCTATTTCAATAATCTGCAAAAGAAATGGCAAATTGACAAAAATCCAAATATTTAATGTGTAAAAAAAATAAAAATTGCGCAAATTGCAAAAAATTATACATTTTTTTAAAAGCCTTTGACCCAGCGAATTCAAATGTGCAAAAATATTCGGAAATTTGTTAAACCCTAAATGTGTATTCAAGAAAAACTGAAATTGTGGAATTTCTCTTTAAAGGCGTCTGTGCCAAAATCTGTCCAAAATGTCTATGCAAAAATTGTGCAATCTTCTTGCTTTTGTTATAGGCTTTCCAAAGAGCTATAACATGTTGAAATCTAGAAGTATGTCTTAATATAGATTTAGTCTGGTGTAGGTAATTTAAGGCATTTAGGCAGTATGCATGAGGCAGTAGGTATAAAAGCCCAGCTTTAAACCTGAAAGGAGGGGCAGCTGTTAGTTAGAAAAGCAAGAAAATTTGAGCTCTCAATCTTTTATCCCAACAGAACGATAGGGTTGATTCAAATTTAAACTCTGTAAATTTAGAAACTGTGGTTACAGCAGATTTGGCCAATTCTTGACCAGGAACTAAATAAACAGGAGGTTAGTGCTTCTATAAATAACTGTTAGGGGATTAACCATTTGGATACAGATCACAAAAATTTTGAATATAGTTCATGTTTCAAAATTCTTTGAAATTTCTTTAAAATAGAAAAAAAAAAAAATTTTTAGATGTTTAAATTTTTCTAAAAACTGCTAAAATGCATGAATCAAGTAGAAAATAGAACGAATTGAGTTTTTACTACAAACTCTAATTTTTAATCCCGATATTTTTACACTTCGAAGTACGTAGTAGACCTTTCATTTCACAAACTTTAAATTCAGTAAGGTCAAAAAGTCTCAGAAAGGAGTTTCAATGATTTGCCAAATAAATAAAAAATGCCACAAAAATAAATCTTTAAATATGATTTTTTGATAAAATTTACCAAATTGTCTAATTATTTAATAAAATCAAGATTGTGAAAAAAGCAAAGTAATCAATATAGATTTTTCAATATTGAAAAATCAAAATATTCTTTTTAAAAGAAAAATGTCATGAAAGAAAATATCCTAGGTCATGGCAGCTGTTCTGGAATCTGCTCTTTTTCTAATCAGAGAATGCAGTCAGCAAGAATACCAAACTTTTATTCAATCCTCGATCAGGCAAATTATTTGAAATTCCAGTTACCTTAAAACTCCTGAACAAATGTTTTCTAAAACACAATGTTTATAATTTGTTTTGTTTTAAAGAATGAAATATTAGTAAGTTATTGACAACAGAAATATTTCGAAAATTGAATTTATTACACTTTTATGTGTGTGATTTTTCTTTCCGTTTTATATTTTTTTGATTTCTTCATTACAAAAATCCAATACACACTGCAGCCCTTAAAGTTATTAAGCATTTTTTATTTCAAATATGAAATATCTCACTACCATAGACTACAAACCGTGTGTAGATAAAAAAAACGATTCAATGACAAAGCATGTTAGTCTTTAAACGGGTTTTCCAAAACAAAAATACTAACTCTTTTTTTAATCAGGCCAATTTTTAATGGGCCAAAAACCGTTCAAGCAAGTGTAACCCTGCTAGAACAGCTTCCAATCCTGCTGGAGAAAACAAATCAAGAAGAGCTAGATACCCAGATTCTACCAATGGTTTATTTAGCCCTTGAGAGCAATATGTCGCAGGTCCAGGTTAGTAATTAAGAATTGTAGCATGCATTTAATTACCCTGACAACTTGTTAGCAATTCAACCTATATCGAGTTAAAGTCATTTTTATTTCTTCAAAGTCTAATAGCTCAAGATTTCTTAATGGTAATATGTAAGCAGGGGGTGCAAGACTTAAAGTTCTTAGATATAGATAAAAAAGACATTTTGTCGATAAAAAGAGATATCTTGTCAAAACACATTATTTGGTGGGTGGTGGAGGTTGGGTTGCATAGCTATTAGTCAGCTGTGATTGCACAAACTACTTCCACACAGACCATTACAGAATCATCAGAAAAAAAGTAAAAAAGATCCGGATGAAATAAAATTTTGATTTAATTTACACTCCATTTTGCTTTCGCGTACACCCCCTTCAGGATATAAAATTTTCCAGATGGCTGCTGTTTCTGTTGTACCCGCAATCCTTGATTACTTGTGCGATGATGTTATTCGTACTGAGCTTCTTCCCCGAGCTAGAAACGTGTACTCTACAAATGGGGCTGATGTTAAAATTGTACTGAGTCTTTTAGCCTGCATTGCTAAGGTATTTTTAGATTTCGAACAATATTCGCTCATTTTTGCAGTTTCCATTTCTATTTGAGTAGTAACCAACTATACACTGATTTTTTGTCATCAATCGCCTTACACTTAGCTCCTTTAATAATATTATGACAATTTTTAGATTTTGGATAAATTAGATCGAGCAGTAATCATTGACGAGGTTTTACCGTTGCTGTATGATATCAGACTTAATGATATAAATATCCTCGTTACAGTCCTAGGTGATATTCAATATGACTTCGTCAAAGTATTTGTAACAGGGGTGTATATTTTGACTCATATTTTCCCAAAAGTCACGACTTAAAAATAAGTTTTTTTTTACAGTTTTACGAAACCCACTAAAACTTCGAAGAAGAGAATTTTTTGAATTTTAGTTTTATAATAAACGTTTTGGTTCCGTAAAAACCAGGTATTCATGAAAAATTTTTAAATCATGTATGTGCACAGCAACAGACTAGCTTGGAAAACATGACATTTGTATTGAGGGAAAAAATATGATATTTTTTCAAAAAAAGGTTTTGCTTAGTGAACAGAAACCAGCAGATAAGAAGTAAATTCCCTCTTTTTCCTCCTTTTTCCTTTCCTGTTCCCTCTTTTCCTATCTTTTTACATTTAGTTCCCTTAAGGGAAAAAATCATATTTTTTTCCTAAAAAAGGTTTTGCTTACATTCCTGAGCCAAAACCAGCGGTTAAAAAATAAATTCCCTCTTTTTCCTCCTATTTCCTTTCTCCTCCTTTTTTCCTTTTCTCCTCCTAACTTCCACGTTTTTACCTTTTCACTTCCCTTATCCCCTTTTTTCTTCATTTCTTTTCTGTTTACTCGTGTAAAACAATGATAGGGAAAAGAAAGTCTAAAAGAAAGTCTAAAAGAAAGTAAGTATTTGCCACAAACTCTGATCTTTGCAACCTGATGCCGTAGACCTTTGATATTTCAAGCTATGAATTCTGTTAGATCAAATAATCTAAGTTTGAAATATCAAATGTGTACACCTTAAGGTTGCAAAGATTTAGAAATTAGAAAATTTGAGTTTGTAGCTAAAACTCAATTTCTTTTTGACGACTAATGACGAGATGAAAAATGTATTAGAAAAAGGTTTTATTATGCATCATTACACAAAAATAACTCTTTTATTCTTTCTTTAGAATATGCAGAGAGATAACAACATGATAAAGTTACTATTTATAATTGTTAAGTCATGAAAAAGTGTGCTTATATTTTGTTTAGTTTATAAAGTCTTTCTTCTTTGCTTACCCACATCAAAATAATTCTATAAGGGGGTTCTTCAAATCGCTCATTTGTATTTTCAGCTCTTATATATACTTAATATATACTTAATAAATAATATTCTTTAGAGATTTACAGAGTAATGCTAAGTGATCGAAGATATGGGTTAAACATGACTCTTTTGGCTACAAGGGTTCTCCCAGTTTTGATTCCACAGGTCATTTAAAAAAGATGATAAAAATGGTATTTTCTTGCGTCAATAAATAAATGCATGCCACTTGTATGTAATATGAATTTCAAAAGATCACCTTTAATAAAAACATTGCAATTTGTGACGCTTTTACTTATTTCTTGATCCAGAATTTCAGAAAAGGAATTGATTCTTTGCCACAAAATCTGACTTTCTAATTCCTATATCTTTGCAATCCAATATCGTAGACCTTAGATATCTAAAACTATAAATTCTGTTAGATAAAATAAGTTTGAAATATCAAAGATTACACCATTAGGTTGCAAAGATATAGGGATTAGCAAATTGGAGTTTGTGGCAAAAACTTAATTCCTTCGCTATATGTTAATGTTATCATTTAAACTAGTTTAAAATCATAAAACTAATTCTTAAATAGAGTGCCCTATAAATAAATTTACTATTTAGTGTGTGAACCCTCAACTATCAATAGATAACTATATGATAGTGCATGGAACCATTCAGGAGATGATGGATCATATTGACAGGTGAAAATTGTCTGCACTTGTCTTTGATTGTTTTAGAACCAAAACCGAACCAAAAATTTCTTTTCACAAAGAAAATTATAAACAAAATTTACGAACTAATTGATTTTTAAAAGGATCCTAAAGTATGCATCAAAAATTATATCAAAGAAATTGAGTCACGCAAACTCAAATTTTCTAATCCCAATATCTTTGCAACTTTATAGTGTAAACCTTAGATATTTCAAACTAAGATTGTGTGATCTTACAGAATTCATAGTTTGAGGTCTGTGGCATTAGGTCGCAAAGATATAATGATTAAAATATCTGAATCTGTGGCAAAGACATGGATTTTCGCCTTCAAAAAACACACTTTAAAAGGAGTATTCAAAAACACACAAGAGGGCAAGAGCGTTAATGAATTAAAAAAAATCATTAAAAATATTGAAATTAAAAGGGATGGGGGAGGGGGGGGGGGGGTTGTAGTAGAGATCAAGAAAGGTATACTTGTACTATGACAATAAGGAATAATTTTCAAAGTAAAGAACTGAAAAGTGTCTATTTCCTAAATGAAATAATAGAAAAATTACCAAGGCTAAATACCTTTGGTACTAGATATATATATTGATATTTTAAAGGAATTGATTCTTTGCCACAAACTCTGACTTTCTAAATCCTAACTCTTTGCAACCCGCTGTCGTAAACCTGAGATATTTTAAACTTTAAATTCTGTTAGATCAAATAATCTAAGTTTGAAATATCAAAGGTTAACACTATCAGGTTTCAAAGATATAGTAATTATTTCATGTTTGAAATATCAAAGGTTTACGACATGAAATTGTGTTGCAAGCTATAAGGATTAGAAAATTAGATCTTGTGACAAAAACTCAGTTCCGTTTGGGAAGAATCAAATACTACAGAAACTAATGACTTAATAAAATTACCTATTTACGATGTTAAAAAGATAATCTTCTATTCAACCTGTTCCATAATTGACTAGAGGTCAAACTAGAGGTCAAATATATGTGTTTTATAGTAACGCTTGACTTATGTGGTTGTTCAAAATAAAAATAAACATGACTAAACTAAAATAGTTGAGTAAAAGCGAAAAACCGAAATTACTATTTAATTCCCTTACTTTCTGCGTTTTCTGGAGGTTGAATTGGAGGTAAATTACCTCCGCCTCTCCTGTAAATGACCACAATTGGAGGCTGCAGGCAAAACCCCTTCTATCTCAATTTTAAAGATCAAACGCACCCTAATCAAAATTTTGTTTATTGAGATAAATTGGATGTTTTTTTCCAAACTAATAAAATAGTTAATATTTTTAAATGATTTTAACGAAGTTAATAAAGTTTTAGAATATACACAAAATACCAAACTTTATAGTTTTTTATTTCAGGCACCAAAGAAATAAACTTAAATTAGAGGGGGATCTGCCTAAGGTAAAATCCCAATTAAACACAAATTTCTTCAGGGTGTTTCTTACAGAATTGCAATAAATATTTAATTTAAGGTTTGAAATAAGGTATTACCGTATTATCCTTCCATTTATCCAATTTTTTATTGTGGTTTTTTAAAAATTTTGTTTTTAATTGTTTTTTAAAAAACAATTTTCAAATTTTTAATGCAAACGTGATATATTTAACGAGGGTATTTAGAGCATTTTTAGAACGTTACAATTTCTTATTGCTGCTAATATTTACATCTATATTAAAACCCTAGATGCGTAAAAAAAACTTTTGACTTTCTGTCAAATAAACGGTTGCAGCTAAAAATATATATAAAGCCGAAGAAAAAATATCGAAATAATGTCACTTTTGGCAAATACCCTTAATCAAAAGCTCTTAATCGCGACCCATGAAAGTTTTATCTGATGTTCCTGTCTCGAGAAATTTATATAAAACTGTGTTAAAACTATACGAAAGTTCATATATGCAAAATTTAGAAAATCTTAAACTTAAATCACATGACCTGAAACTATCACCAATGGCAGAGCAGTATACTGGTCACTTGTCTCCGCCTGTATCACGTGACCACTTTACTGCAATGCCATTGGTAGAATTTCTGGTCATGCAATACGGACGTATAAATAATATTATGAATTAAATCTATAAAAAATAGAAATAACAAATATAAAATTAGAATTGGAGTAAACCAAAGTTACAATTAGCTTTCTCTAGGATATCATCGTTTTCAGATTGGTTGCTTATTTGCTGAATTTCATCTATTTAAACCCACTACTTTTATACAAAATTGTATATATATTAATTTTCTTATAAATTTGACAAAGTTGTAAATTTGTTTCTCGAGAGGAACATCAGATATAACTTTCATGGGTCGCGATCGAGAGCTAAAGTGATTAGCTTTCAGCCTATACCCCCTTTCATTTTTCCTTTACAGTCCCTTTAATACAAAATTTTTATTGGACACCTTTCTGCTTATATGTTTAACCTTTTACTTCTATTCTTAATTAGATTTTTGGAGTCAATGTCTTTTGCAAATTAGCATAAGAATTGTACTAATCTACTATTCTCATTCAGTCTGTAGAATCTCTGAGACTGAGATCAGATAGATACTCGGATGTCTCAATACCAAATCTAGTGATTAGGAGACCGAGTGTAGTACAGGTGATTTCCTGTAGCTCAGGTTTTTTTTAATAATTAAGACACCAGTTAAAGTTCCTTTTTAAGAAACAAATATAACAAAGATCGATAACAGAAGTTAAAATTTCTTTCGGGGAATATGAAACATGAAAATGTAAGAAATGTTTAAATACAATTAAAAAGGTAATTGATATTATTTTTTCAGGGTCATTTTTCCAGCCACTCTAGTGCTCTTTCTAGACTTAGTGCCATCTCTTCAAACAACTCAAGCGGAGACAGTTCACCAGAAAATAACAATTATCTTCGAGTATCAGCAATGTTTGGTAACAGGTAGTTCAGTTTAAAACATGTTTGGTAACAGGTAGTTCAGTTTAAAACATGTTTGGTAACAGGTAGTTCAGTTTAAAACATGTTTGGTAACAGGTAGTTCAGTTTAAAAATATGTTTGGTAACAGGTAGTTCATTTTAAAACAATTCCAAATATCAAGCTACTAACCAACATTTATTAAGTCTGAGAAAGTAATTCCACAGTTTTCTCGTTCTCACTGTTCAAAGATTTTTCAGGAAAACATTATTTTTCTTTTGTAAACATCTAAATTTGTATTTCAACGAATAAACAATATTTGATATTTTGCTTCAACAGTTAATAACCTCTAAATTTAACGTCAGATTGTCAAATATTATTTCCCCCGAGTTTAGTAAATATTTGATGTATTTGTCACACTAAAATTAACCTATTGGAAAAAGTAATTCGAATATGCTTATTTTTAACAGTAACGATAGTTTGCAACCATATAACAGATAGGAACCCGATAGCGCAAAGGAGTTGATTCATTGTCACAAACTCTGATTTACTTTATCTTTATCTTTGCTACCCAATGTCGTAGACTGGAATATTTCAATTCTGTTAGCTCAAACATTAAAAGTTTAAATTATCAACGTTTAAACAATTAGGTTGCAGATAATTTTGGGATAAGAAAATTTCAGTTTGTGACAAAGGCGCAATTTCTTTGTTAAAGAAGGGTTCAGTTTCAGTTTCAGTTTTAGGGTTTCCATTCGCAAAACTTTTACGCAATTTTTGCGGAACGAACCGCAAAATTTTTCTTTCTTTGCGCATCAGTTTTGCGCGAAAAAACAACAATTTGCGCAATCATTCGCAAAAGTCATTTCGCGCAAAATTGCCCTATTCCGCTTTTACGAAACTTAAGTTTTGCGCAATTCCGCAATTTCGTAAAAATCAAACGGTTGTTGACGGTGTGTGTTTCTTAGAATTCAATTCTGGAAAAATCTTGTTTTGGAATGTCTTCCTATTGGTCACTTTTACATAATTGACCAATGACAGTTAAGAAGAGTTCAAATCTCACAATTTTCTCTACAATTTTAGTTTTGGACATGCATATTTCCTAAAAGTGCATTCATGGTTACTTTCTTGCATTATTTTAAACGAGATTAAAGAGATTTCAGAAATTTGATTAAAAAAATTTAAGAATATAATTCATACTTGATTAGGCAAAGCTTTTAAGGGTCACTTGAAATTATTTAATAGGATTAAAATATTGTCAAGTTTCACACTCTCTAATTTCTATTTTATTAATTTTGGTCCCTTAATTTAAACTTTTTGTAACTGGAAGTAACCAATTGAGTGTAGTATAATCGTTATCATACTCGATGTTAATATTTTTTTTATGTATGGAATAAATCTTCAGTTGTTTAATTCTAAGCTTAGAATATCAATTTTTGACAATTTGCCTAAAAAGTTACATTTTGCGTAAAACTTGCGGTTTTGCGCAAATTGCGCAAAACTAAAATTTCGTTTTATGCGCGGCACAACTTTCGCAAAAAATATTTCCGGTTTTGTGCAAATTGCGCAAAAAAATAGCGCAAAACTAATTACGTCTCATGCGCGAAAATAGCGCAAAAGATTTAGCCATTTCGTGGAAACCCTATTCAGTTTCAGAAAGTATGTCTTGAAAAAAAAACTTTAAGCACGACAAAATGCGTTAAATTTTAAAAGGTTTGGACATATGAAATCTACTTTTTTTTCCATTGATTGATATTACGTTAATCAAGACCAGTAAAATAATTGTTTAATTAATATTTTTAATCATTTCAGTTTTCGGAAATTATTCTTGGCCACCAACTTTGATTTTCTAATCCCTATTGCTTTCAAATTATGAATTATGTTAGATTAAATAATCTAAGTACGCCATCAGGTTACAAAGATATAGAGATGAACAATTTCAGTTTGTGCCAAATAGTCCATTCATTTGTAATCTATTTTTAATCTGTCTACAAAAAGATAATTTACGGAACCAATCTTAAATTGCCATAAATTAAAAAACCTCTAAAAGCTGGGCATCAATCGATCGGAATATATGACTATTGCGATTTCGAAAATTTTCACCTGTTTTGAATCGAACCTATTAAAAAAGGACTATCTCTTAAACTCCCAACCCCTACAAAGCCTGAAACCCTTTGTCAAGGCGATGGAGTGAGAATACACTTCCAGTTTCCAATCGGTCCCCCTTGTCCTCTGTGTCTTCTCCTGGCAGTGCACCAGGGTCCCCTGTGGGACTTCCTAACAGGTAATTTTTCTAATATCTTTTTCTAACCTAGAGGTCGCGTTGCAAAGAAATACAGGGTTACCCACAAAGGACAAACTTCTAAAAATATGTGCCGATTTTAAGGTTGATTTTTGGTTTCTGCATTTAATTGAGTATTTTGATGGTTTACTGAATGATGAGGCGGAGAAATAAGCTAATTTTGTCCAACAAGAACTCTGAATGCTAGAAAACGAATCAAACAAATTCCGTACAATCGTCTCTAAAGTCTCATTCTTTGTGGGTAACCCTGTATAAAAGCAAAGAAACTGAAACAGTTGAATAACATTGCCAAATAATACTATTAAAACTCTAGAGACAGGGCCCCTGATAAAATGTTTACATACAACAACGCCCTTGATTTAAAATAACGTATTACAAACACTGGGTGGTACCGTATAGTACTGGGGGAACTTGGGGTACAACAGAATACTGGGGGGTGCGTACTGATACTGTATGGTTCAAGGGATACTTGGGGTACTGGCGGCGATGGGGGGGGGGGTACTGGGGATGCTACAGGGTACTGGGGTACTAGGGGGTTCTGCATGGTACTGAAGGGTACTGCGGGGTACTACAGGGATGGGGGTGGGGTGCTGCAGGGTACTCTGGGGTATCGGAGGGTACTAGCGGTCCCCCCAAAGTAAAATCTTTTAGAATTTTCCTACTTTCGGATATGTTTTTACTTTGGCATATTTAAGGATATATACTCGATCATCCAGTACTAAAGGTTTTATTAAAATTAAACTTTATTAAGTTTTGAGACGTTTTAAAAATATGCGAAAAATGAATTGCTAACACTCCTAGGATTAGTACGTCATTATAATTCTCCAGTCATTTAATTATCTTACATATAAAGTTTTATCTTTTATAACATACCAGGGAATTTTCTGACGGATTCTTTAGTCTTTATATAAATTACTTGACCCAGTCCTAGTTTCAAGTTATACTTATATCCGGTGAAATTATGGACACAGTTCTTTTTTCTGATGAACGTAAAGACAAAGGAAAACAGATTTTATGATTTTAAAATAAATGTTGGACTTGAAACAATCATACCAACTCTGACGGATTGAGCCTTTATAATTTTCATGACATTTTTGTATGGTTAACATTTTATACCGTTTGAAACTAACTTCTGTTTTAAGATGTACTTCGCAAATCTGGTAATAGTGCAATAGTGTAATAGTGCAATCGTGTAATAGGTCATAATTAATAAATGTAAGAAATAGTAAAATCTGCACTTAGTAACACCTAAAGATCTTGATTAACCTTTAACGCAGGAGGCACTCAAGCGCAACCCAAAGACGCCGAAGTTCTTCAAACCTTCTCATTCATTCAACAAATCCTACTTCACCGGTCAGTCATTTGTGTTTTTGTATTTGTATTTGTATTTGTAGTTGTATTTGTATTTGTATTTGTATTTTTATTTGTATTTGTATTTGTATTTGTATTTGTATTTGTATTTGAATTTGTATTTGTATTTGTAGTTGTATTTGTATTTGTATTTGTATTGGTATTTGAATTTGTATTTGTATTTGTATTTGTATTTTGTATTTGTATTTGTATTTGTATTTGTATTTGTATTTGTATTTGTATTTGTATTTGAATTTGTATTTGTATTTGTAGTTGTATTTGTATTTGTATTTTTATTTGTATTTGTATTTGTATTTGTAGTTGTATTTGTATTTGTAGTTGTATTTGTATTTGTATTTGTATTTGTATTTGTATTTGTATTTGTATTTGTATTTATATTTGTATTTGTATTTGTATTTGTATTTGTATTTGTATTTAAGACCAAACAGTTTTGCACCTTTTCTTCCGTGTCAGTTTATTTTCATTTTTTAATACTATTATTTATAGATGAAATTAGTGATGTATATTGTGCATTCCGTTCATTCGCTTTTAGAATGTTCCAATTTGAGTCTTTGCCACAAACTCACATTTTCAAATCCTTTTGTCTTTGGGACCTGATAAGGTGTAAACCTTCTATATTTCAAACTTAGATTATTTGATTTTTCAGTATTCATACTTTAAAAATATCCAAGGTTTATGACATATTAGAGTTTTTGGCTTAGACTCAATCTTTTGGCATAGTATAAGAAAAACAATTGTTATTATAGTGTTTAATCTAAACGATACAACAACGAACGTGGTATTTTGATGGTTTTCTATTGTTTTTCAATCTATTTTTAGGATAGAAATATTGAAAAGTTCAATTAACAAGAGCAAATCTCAACTTATTACAGTTTTGAAATTTTGAAAGTTTTATTGAAAGTTTCAAAAAAAGATCCAAAAAGATTAACAACGCTTAATGAAATATAGTGATTTATTTGCAAACAAATAAAATGTTTAGGTTTTGTTTCAACTTGGTGGTAGTGTTCCAAACTCTCTTGGTAAATGTTCTCCTGTGTCTAGCAGAAGAAGTAGCAGAGTAGGCAGAACAGGTTCCTCTAGCAGCCTGGTTGGGAGTAGAAAACCATCTTTAGCGGGTGTAGGGGAATGGCCAAACTCCCCACCCTCCAGCACCCCTTCTCTACTACAAACTATCGGGAACAATGTTGTGAGTGCTGCTAATGCTTTGACTCCATATAAAAAAGCTTTTATTAGTGGGACCAGCAACAATGTTGCTTCTCCTCCCTTCTCATTTAATTAGAATTTATAGTATAAGTAGATATGCTTGTCACAAATAAGTAGATACCAGAGAGAAGTCACACTTTTAAACAAAAATTTCATTTTCAATGTTCAAAAGTACAACTTTCTTTTGAAAATCAAGAAAATTCTTAAAATTCTGATAATCATAGCCCAAAATAAAACCCACAGACTGAAGTATAAATAATTTTTTTAAAATCATTTTCTCCATTCCTCTGTACATATTTGTGACAAAACATATTTAATTTAGTTTCAAATATACTTGCGATATTAAATAATTAACACATATACATTAAACAATATATTACACGCATATTATAGCATGCAGTAATATACAGTTTAAAGGTTACAAAATTGGATAAAATCAAGTTATTCAAGTAAGGAAGAAAGGAATAAAAGTCGCAAATATATTGGTTCATCCTGTAGTTTATCGTAGTAAAATAAGTGATAAGTATTATACATTACATTATAAAATATCTAGATGCATGTTAAATTGTTTATATATTGTCTATTTTGCTCAAGCGTACACGACTTTAATACAGACTTAAGACCAGACCTTGCTTTTTAAATACGGACTGCTTTTGAGGCTTTGCTTACATTTTTTGTCAATTATGTTCTGCACCTTGCTTAATAAGCAAGGGAACTTAGTGTTTCCACAAACTCTAATATTCTAATCCTTAGATCTTTGCAAGTTGGGAACTACGAGATCAATGCTCTTTGAGATCTTTTGTAAATCTGCAGATTAGTTCAATTTTTTTTCAATATCCCGCATGGTAACAAAATTCATAGTTTGAGATAACAAAGATCTTCGACATCGAGTTGCAAACATTTAGGGATTCGAAAATTAGCTTGCGACAAAGACTCAATTCCTTTGCCAACAAGAGAATTATTTTAAATAAAAAATCTAAGATAATAGTAATTCACATCTCAACAATCAGTTTTCTGTCTCCAACTTATTTGATTGTAAACTTTGGGCGTTTTAAAATCTGTATTTCTAAACAAACCTTTTGTTGATATGTTTGAAGGGAATTTTTGTTGGCTTGTGACTTTCAGATATATTTTTGACTTAAAATAGCACTTGATATCGAAAATATTTTGAAATAAAAATGCTATTACAAAGAAATTGAATTCCATGAAATTATAGAATATGAGCATAAATTTCCTGTTATGCTTATTAGCATTAATATGTACGAAATATCTCTTAGCTCGTTTAACCCTTAAACCCTTCAGTAATATATTTTCCTCGCTAAAATGTGTATGTCCGATAAAATTTGTTTAGGCATGAAGTTATATATAAATATTTATTTACGTCAATAAACTTATCTGTAGATATTTATAAGTTTGAAAAAAGTATCGTTTGATGCAGAAAAGAAATTACATTTTCATGGTTTTATAAATACTAAAATATTTGACAAAATATGTATAATTATGCGAATAACTCCTAAACTAAAATGTTTGTTAATATATTTCAGTGCAGTTTGCTTGGTCGACACTAATCAACTTCTGGTGTATCATCATTACGAGCAACAATTTTTCAGTATTATTAAACGTCTTCTCAATGATTATAAAAGTACCTTTTTCTCTTTGAAAGATGATTGCGATTTATTTACAACCACATTTTCCATAAAAACCTAATGTTCTTTGTCTTGTATAGAGTAATAAATTCCTTAGTAAAATGCCAATTATTTCAACTTCAGTAGCTAGTTCTATAAATTAATGTAAACAAAAGAAGAAGCTGTAAACTATTTGCAAAACAAGAAATACATTGTTTTTCTGTTCGGAATCCATTAAAAAACTCGCTTCAAAACTTCATATAAAAATGTATTAAAATACAAAATTCCATAAAAGTCTCAGTTAAAATAAAATTGGGATATATTTTACTTATTCCGTGGGCTCAACGGATATTTTTTTTTCATTGAATGGGTGATCGATTGGATGGAAATACAGCCATAAAGCCCTTACAGTGTATTACATAGAATTTCGAACACAGGTAATTATAAAATACATTAGCGTATGACTTTATAGCATAGAAATAAAAGTTTTTCTCTTTGGGAGAGGGGGCTTAACAATAAACTGCAGAATTTGACTCGTTTTGTTCAAGAAAAGATTCTACTACAGACACACGAGGGTCTGAAACAGGCGCAGACAAGATATATAGCTACTGCAATGATTGGCTGTAAAAACTGCATATACAGCTGAAACAGGCGCAGAAAAGATATATAGCTACTGCACTGATTGGCTGTAAAAAGTGCAGTTAAAATTATCGAATACTTCACTTGGTATCATTGAGTACCCATGGTTTGGGATACTGAATTCTTTTTAGTGAAATGAACTTTTTTAATATTAAATTATGCATTTCACTATTTTTTCATCCCTTTAAATTCTGAAAAAAAAAGTTAGAATTGCTTATAATAATTTTTGAAACTTAATGCAAGATTTTAGACAACATTTCTGACCTGCATCTTTCATAACCTATTATTCAAATAATATTATGGATCAAGCATTATTGTGATCCTAATGCTTCTCCAGAAGCGGAAAATTTTAAAAGATGAAAACAAAATTATAAAAAAATATTCTAATAATATTGCAGTAGTATTTCCTTTTTAATATTAACTACTTTTCACAAATACTTTGGGATTCTCCGGGTCACCCCCCCCCCCTCTACGCTAGCGGACAAGGTACACCCTGCGTTTGAATAGGTAGGTGGTAAGGTATTTACGATATGAATTGTCCAATGTCCATTGGGGGAGAGAACAGGGACTCCATGGGCCCTGAGAACATCATAGCGCCCCCCCCCTCAAGCCCCACAACATTTGGCACTTTCAAAATAATTTGCACTGGTCATCAGGCGCGTACACAGGATTTTAGCCAGGGGGGGGCAAGATTTCGCGCGAAGCGCGAAAAAAAATTTTTTGCCCCCCCCTGGCTGTTTTTTGCCCCCCCCTGGAATTGTTTTGTTCAAAAAGTCAATTAACACCATAAAAATACACCAAAAAGACTACATTTTTGGGTGTTACTAACCTTATAGAGTCTAAAATTTATTCTAATATTTATTCCTTTGCTCGAAAAACTAACTTTAACTTTTTAACTTTATAAATTTATAAATTTATCACTTAACTCCATCACAGCTAACTAAATCAATAATCACAGCATCATTAAAATCATATTTTCACTGATAAACGAAATTTTTTCTGAAATTTGTAGATAGGATTTACTTAATCTACATATTCACCAACTCTTTTAAGCTACAATTTTCTTGGATTTGCTTGCACAAACATTTCAATGATTT